TGGTTAGGTACGAGACTGGTCTCCCAGATTTTGTTGAAAAATGTCAGCATGGTTTCCTTGGCTTTTGGTCTCTTTCTAATTAGAAATTTCGGATGAATACCGACTTCGCCGGGAGACTTCTTGCACTTGAGCTGTTTTATCGCAGCATTATGTACGCAAGGTCTGAATGGTTCAGTTAGTACATTATTTGATGTTATCGTATCTTCGTTAATTTCACCAAACTGTCTTACATGTATCTTTAAATCTCTTGAAGATTTTCTGGCAAAAGGGTTTTTCTTTTGCTTGTGGGGATAGAACCTTGCAAAGTAGTTAGCTATTTCGTAATCGGTGGTAAGCAGTTTGTTTCTTAAACATATTGGTTCTTGGGTCTTTCTCTGTTGTTTTGGAGGTTTCTCAGAAATTTGAAAGTGCGTTGGGTATCACTTTGATAGTTGGTACAGATGAACTTGTCGAAGGAAGTTCGTTTAGCTTGTAAGATTGGGAAGCGCGTTTAGCTTGTAAGATGGCTTGCCTTAGGACACATGATTGTCGTCTCCACGCTTTTACGTCTTCTGTTCTTCAAGTCTGATGCCTTTGTTGCGAAGGGCGTCCCACTTTCTTTTCAGTTCCTCAAGGTGCGGCGTCCCGCTTTCTTTTCAGTTCCTCAAGGTGTTTTGACTCCCTCTTTCTTTTCAGTTCCTCAAGGTGTTTAGACCAAAAAACTCGATAATGTTTAGTCTTGCTTCGGGGGATTCGTTTTCTTATCACATCTAATCATAATATTCGTGATATCGTTACAAAGTTTGTCAGGATGTTGGTTGAAGTTGAGGGGACTTGTGTGAAGTTCATTCCCTAAAAGGTTTGTGAATCTAGGCCACTCAGCCTTCTTGAAGTTCCATGATAGCTTAGTTGGCACTTTCCTTTTCATGCTTTTGCTGCCGGTGGTAATACTAGCAATGACTGGTTTGTGACCAAAACCAGGATTGTCAATTATTTTGCGGCGTGTATGCTCGCTGATGTCGCTTGAAGCTAGGAGTAAGTCTGGAGTTGTTCTGGTTCCATTGTTGTGCAGATATGTTGCCGGATCCTCATTGCTGCAAATAAGTTTGTAAATATGTAGCCGGATCCTCATTGCTGTAAATAAGTTAAAATATGTTGCCGGATCCTCATTGCTGCAAATAAGTTTCAGAGGGTTGCTGTTTAGCATGTCTTCGATTTCCTTTCCAGCTATTTTTGTATCCTTGTAGCCCCATCCGGTGGAATGGGCGTTGAAGTCTCCTAATACTATAGTATTGTGTGAGATATTTAGAAAGTCAAAGTTTGGACAATTCTGAGGTGGATTATAGACTGCATATACATCGAAGTGGTTTTGACATTTCCAAACATTAAATCTGATTATTTCACATGTCTTTTGTCAAGCCCATACTCTTGATTAGATCGTAGTGTGAGGTGAGGCCTTCTTTTACTCCAGTTAGATTTCCTCTTGCAACTTGCCGGTATTTAGTTAGAAGGTACAGGGTGTAACCTGGGAACTGTTGATACTTCAGTTTTTCATCCGAAATGTTTGCTTCCATAATTGTGATTATGTCTACATCAAAGGTTTGTAGGATTTTCTGTAGAATCCTCACCATTAAAGCCCATTGAGACTAGAGGTGACCAAGTTCTGTTGTCTCGCCAGAATTTGATTCCATCATAAGGGAGATTGGGTGGTACTTGGGGAATCGAGAACTGCTTCTGCATATTAGGATTTTGCAGCTTTCAGCAGTGAATAAAGAGTAGGTAAGAGAGTGTCATTGAATTCCAAATACCCAAATATCCATGGCCAAATTCCTCCTGAAAGAAAGTGTCTTCAAAAGTATCTGTGGTAAGTTGACAGAGGCTGGAGGACGTGATGTTGAAGGAGAGTAACTTTGGTTGCAAATATATCGAGTTGTTGTGGAGCTTGCCGATTGGTGGAGAAGTATCTGCGAATAGTCAGGGAGTCAGGCGGAATCTCCTTCAGTACTGACATAGATGCTTCTGTCCATGTCTGGTGGCTAGGAAATATTGAGTAGTGAAGAGTCACAAGATGGAAGTGGTATGGAAGGAGATATGAACTTGAGTAGTTGAGGAGAAGCAAAAAGAGTCGCGAATTCGAAGAGGTCATTAATGGTGATCTAAACGAAATGACGGCATGTGAGGCAAGGTTATTGAGTACTCGCATAGACACCTAAGACTTGGCCTCAGATGTCGATTGTCATCATCAAAGGTCACACAAGGACCAGCCTCAAAGTGAGTTTGATGGGATAGAGCTTTCGAAATGTCTTCAAACACCAAGCGTTTTCGAAAAGACGGTGAATACGAGCACCGAAATCAAGGGTAAGTTGTGCTCAAAAAGAATTATCCTGACAAGTTGAAACCTAGCTTCTAAAGCATGGAATCTTAGCAACAACTGGATGAATGGATGTGAAGAGTTTAGGAATTGTAGATTCCAAATATATTTGACGTTTCCAACTATGTTGTAATTTTCGTTTATTCTCCTCAGGTTGCAATATATGCAGATATACATAACTCAATGGGAATGACACTTGACCTTGTTGCACATATCCACATTAATCATAGGAAAATAGCTGCACGTCTACACTACGCCCATGGTCCCACTGCGCCTTGGTCCACATACCACTAATTAATACATCCGTGGTGTTTAAAATTATGCTCGGTGAATGGAAACGAAGGCAATTTGACACTTTGGTGAAGATTTCAACTTCCACTGCTTCCACGCTGCTTACATAGGCACCCAAAATTGACTCATTCCTCTTCCCTTTACCCACTTCCCACTTCCCAACTCCCACTTCTCACTTTCCACTTATTCTCTGCAATTCTCTCGTGGCCAGCACTGTTAGTGGTTTGCCATACTTTCGCATTCTCCGTTACAAATTGTCAGCCAGTTAACAACGCTGACTAGTTATGTGAAGAGAAGTCTTCATTATGAGGTCAACCCTCCGTCCATCCTATAGACAAAACGAGGAAATTCGAGAGGACGAATATTCCCGAAGGCATGTGAAAAGGCAAATTTGCAGAAAGAAATGGCGAGAGTCGGCAGCAATAGCAGCAGACATCTCAACTCATGACAGCAGCATCCCGCGTTTGAAGGACTTGATCTAACCGATGTTCACAGTAAGTCTCAGATTCGGTCTCCTCATCAGTTCACGCTCGCATAGTAGGTGACTATGTGCAGGGCTACAGAAACACAGGATTCAGTTGCTATGGTATACCTATCTGCATAAATCGCTGTTCATAGAAGTACTTCTTCAAAGAAGATGAAATGACGAAATAGATGGTCATCACTAGTAGAGGGGCATTATAAGTGGATGAATGGGAGAAGGAATGAGAGATGAAGAGGCAGAAACGGAAACAAAGAAGTGGGCAGCCACTGGGGTGTATTGGAAATGGACGAACTTAGTGAGGTATGTTGGTTGAGGGATTGTGCGTTCTTACTTCATTGGCAGTTGGAGTTGTGATAAGTGTCAGTGGACACAACTCACAGAGGCATTAAACAAGCCAATAACTAACGATCGATCATCATAGTATATTCCCAAGGCAGTTGGAAGAGAGACAATATGTGTTTGAAGAAAGTCTACGTGAGTTGGAAGCGTACAAATTAGCTGATTCTGATTTGGCACCTCCCTCACATCCCTTCCACTACTCATTCACTCTGAATGTTTCCAAATATCACTTCCAGGAGGAGACAAAATAAAGTAATTACTTCCCTTCTTCGGAAACAAATAATAATAATAAGTGTTTCAGTATCAGCATCATTGCTTATGTGATGATACAATATATCATGCAAATTTAATTGATGAAAATGTGTAACTTACCCTTGTAAATACTAATTTGTCATGTCAAATATTCTTCATCTGGAAATCTTAATGGTGAAAACAAATTTTCCAGCTCGATTTTCTAAACTGCATCAAAATAGCTACCACTCATTCACTCTGAATGTTTCTAAATATCACCTCCAGGAGCAGACAAAATAAAGTAATTACTCCCCTTCTTCGGGAACAAATAATAATATTAATAAGTGTTTCAGTATAACCACTGTGTTCGTAATTTATGCTCCCATTAATGCATTCTGAGAAGGCAATTGATGCCTCAAAACAATCCACTCTGCCCTCTACAGATGATGAAAGGTCATGGATTTTATGGACTCCATTCGATGAAACGTGATCCAATTGATCCTTGCCATGATTCGAGCTATATAAAAGATAAAACCTTATGATGAATTATTGATTTCAACTGGACTTGACAAAAATATATGAAAATAATTCTTCGTGAGGGAGTTTAAGATAAGGATTATCTTGGGAATTAAAATTTCATGAACATGAAGGCGCAAGTAAAAGAACCCATCTGGCTTTCAGATAAAATTTAGCAAAGCTAAGCTAGTAGAAGAGCTAATTGACAGGAAACATGGTTTCTCTTCTGCGTCATCAAATTTACTAACTATGGTGGAGAGATTTGGGTCAGTTCTTCAAAGTTTGCACAAATTTGACCTCTTTCTAAGTGAACATGCACGCTGTGGGCGCTCCAACTGAATTTCTCTGTTTGAACAAAGTCATTTTTTGTTAAAAATTTCGACCTAATTTCGCCTATTCACGCATTCTATGCCCTGATTTCTGTTAGAATTACTGAATACATACTAAAGCTAACCATATACTGCTCGTTACTTTATTTTCTGCAAACGAGGTAAGCTTTCAATCCAGCAGCCTTCCACGCAAGTGGTTAAATGCAAATTCATTGAAAATGCAGCAAATCTTTTGTTAATATCAAATGAACCA